ATTTTAGCCATTTGTACCAACTTTGGCCAACCTTAAGTTTACATATATACTATATGCCATATAGCCATACTGTCCCAATAATTTATATTGAGATATCATAGTACAAAAAATCTCCCTCTAATTTTTGGGGACATTTCCACTGACTGTTAATAACTGTTCTTTTCTTTTTTATAGATTTGGGTAGGCTTCTGAAGATCAGAAAAATGAGAACCTTTAAGATTCGTAAGTAGTAATATACTTGTGAATCTTTTTTTTTAATGTTATTGAACAGTTACTAACTATTCTTTTTAATTTTTTTTATAGGTTTGGCATCTCAGAGTTTTCGAAAAATGAGAGCCTAAAAGATTCATAAGTATGAATCTTTACTTTGTTTTTTTTCTTATTATTACGAACGGTTTACTAACCATTCTTGTATTTTTTTTATAGGTTCGGGTGGGCTTTTATGTGGAAAAACCAAGATTCGTAAGTACGAATCTTGGTTTATTTTTTTTAATTTTTTTTTAATATTACGAACGGTTACTAATAACCGTTCTTTCTTTTTTTAGGATTGGGTGGGCTTCTGACCTTTGGGAAAAGAGGAATCAAGATTTGTAAGTACGAATCTTAGTTTATTTTTTTTGATTTTTTTTAATATTAATAAACAGTTACTAATAACCGTTTTTTCTTTTTTTTAAGCTTCGGATTGGCTTCCGATCTTTGGAAAAGTAGAACCAAGATTTGTAAGTACGAATCTTGGTTTATTTTTTTTGATTTTTTTTTAATATTATTATGAACAGTTACTAATAACCGTTTTTTTCTTTTCTTTTTAGGTCTCGAGTATCTCGGGTATCTTCTGAAGAACAGAAAAAACCAAAGATTTGTAAGTAAGTATGAATTTTGGTTTTTTTTCTTATTTTTTTTTAATATTATGAACGGTTACTAACTGTTCTTCTCTTTTTTTTATAGGTTCGGATGGATTGCTAAAGAACAATCAAAGATTCGTATATACGAATACATGAATCATGTAATTGTGGAATTGTATTTGAATTAGCAATATTTTTTGTAAATTAGATAGATGCAATAATAATAATATAATTATAAAGTAT